GTGGCGGGTGCCAAGAGCTCCGCCTTGAATAAAGGCAAGGAACCGGCTGCCCCTGCAGAAAAGCTCCCTCACTTGTGCACCTCCACGGAGGGAACCCCAAGAAGGTTGAAGAAGCCGCGCAATGACAGTAATAACGCTGCACCTTCCAAAACCTTCGCGTAGGCCACAGTGAGACACCTCAAGGTTGCCAAAAAGAGTGTGTGTTCGGCGAGTCTTGGCCTACTACTACCAATATAAAGGAGATATCTCCTAGTGACCTGTTCACCTTCCTGGAAAAGACAGGAGATGGACGATGACCTAGGAGGCGACTCTTCGGGAGGATGTACAATGGGTCACATATGGCCTAAGTGCTGTGAGTCGTCACTCACCCTCCCCACTCTACAGATACAATACCAGATACGTGTTGTTTTCAACACAATTTGGCCATCAATTCTATTATTTATAGTTTCAATATAATTTTTCAGTTCCTCTACATTATTATATTTTATTTTGTACGCCTCATTTTTCAGAAATCCCCAAAATAAAAATTTAGAGGTGTCATGTCTGGTGGAAAATGATCATCTGACGAGCCTCCAGATCAAGACCATCGAAAAACTCTTCCAACACCTTTGTTGATAAATTAATGTACCATGGTAGAAAATTGGACCAATAATTCTGCCTTTAAATAGACCATACCAAACATTAATACTAAATCGTCTTTGTGGATTGTGGGGATGGAATAGAAATGGATGGTCTACTCCAATAATGAAAATTCTTTCTATTATACATCCCATACAACTAGATCAATCTCTGATGGAATTATTTGGATTTACCTCAAAGTAGGCTAAAACGTCAATATCTGATCTGTTTTGTTTAGTTCTCCTCTTCTCAAAAACTGTTTCATTGTTCCTGAATAGACGATGATGCACAGCAAAAAAAGCCGATTAGGTAATTCATGATCGGGAAATGAATTGCTGTAGTGTTGGAGTACTCTTATGGAAGGCAATGAAGCTGCTAAGTCTCTTGCAAAGGAGGGTGCTGCAAGCGACTTCATTGGACCAGAACCTGTCATTGGCTTCGCTTTGGGTTTTGCCAAACAAACACTGAACACCTGGATGGCAAGAAGAGTTATGGACTTCTGGCAGAAGCTTCCAGGATTGGCTCACTCCAAGAAACACTGAACACCTGGATGGCAAGAAGAGTTATGAACTTCTAGCAGAATCTTCCAGGATTGGCTCACTCCAAGGCGTTTATTCACCCTTCGAAGCTTGATTCCAAGCAATTGTTGGACTACAGTAGGGATGAACTACTAACAGGCCTTCTTACAGGTCACTGTCATTTGAATCATCACATGCAGAGACTTGGATTTGGACATGCAGAGACTGAAACTGCAGAGCATATACTTTGTGCCTGTCCCGCTGGGGACCGAATCAGGTTCTTTGAGTTCGACAGATCCGTACTCTCACCATCTGACCTGAAAGACCACTCACCATACAAACTAATCTGCTTCGTTAAGAAGCTGGGTTTATTTGGCCGAGTGTGAATAGGTGTGAGCCACAATAAACCCTTGTGGGTTGCGGTGGAGGGTTGAAAAGACCCACTCACTTTAGGCCATCTACCTACCTACTCTTATGCAATTTTTCTGGTAAACCAAGAAGAATTCTAACAGATCACATTTTTCTTGGTGGGAAAACGAGAATAGAATAGAATTTATTCGTCATTGAAAATTTTGCAATTGCATTGCATTACATGACACTTTTGATTATGGTTTGTCAGAATTTTTTCTGTTACCTTTCATTTTTTTCAGTGGAGAAGCCTTGGTGTAATGATTTATAAGGGTTGTATGGAAAGCATTATAACATTCATTCACATCACTAGCTGTATACACATCTTCCCACTTTTCAGAAATTAGTAGTCCCCTGAAAGTTATCAAGTTTCTCTCTGAATATATACGTTTATAATTTATATCTGTATCTAATTTCTGCTTATTTGGTAATGCAAGTTTACAAATTTGAAATCTATGATCTGATAGATGTGTATCGCTGACTCCTATATTCATTAATTTTAATGATATATTTTTCGTTTTTTAGGTAACTTCAAGTAAGTTCAAGACAAATACCTATTAATTCATATTGTATTGGTTTCTCAAGGAGTCAAGAGTGATATTCAGTATCAAAAGCTCTCTTCATATCTAAAACTATTCCAATAACTTTTTTTTATAAGTATTCAGAGAATTGTAGATAATTCGAGATACATCTGCAGTGCCAAATTCTCCCATCGAATGTAGGAGTATTGTCCACAATTTCATTAATTTCATTGTACCTATCAATTAGTTATTTTTTAATTATCTTTTCTCAGTTGATATTTTTTTATATAGTATCCTTCTTATTTGAAGCGTTATTACATAGGGAGGGGATTCAATTAATGACCCCACCAGGAGATTCTATTTCAGTGTTGCCACTATCATATTGTTTCAGTTGATGCTTATGATTTTTCTTGTTCAATAAAACAGATCATAATTCAAAAACATGCCATAAAATAATTATTTTCAAATATTTATACAGATGTCACTATATTGATATAATTCAGTATTAGTCATGCCTGTTGAGGCTATTGATAAGCAATGTGTTACGTGAATATTTCAAATACATATACAGTTACATGTTCTCTTTAGACATTTCAAGCAGGAGTAATTCTAAAACAGACAAAAAAATGAAACGCCTGGGTTGTGACACAGGGACAAAATATATCTATAACCCAGGCGACTTATCCAGACAAGGGCCGATTTTCATCAACCACACTACGAGCATTAATGGGACATGGAACACATGTTCGACTATAACAATTTTTTTTTTAATTTTATTCTGACCTATTTCTAGATATCCTTAAAAAATTTCAGAACTTGTAGAACTTTCTGAGATGATCATTTTGTGGGGTTTTAAATCTAAATCAGACCAAAATTCATTTAGATATAGCAAGTGCCAAACGCCATGTAAGTCACTTTCATATTTTATTTAATATTATTCTGACCTATTTCTAGATATCCTTAAAAAATTTCAGAACTTGTAGAACTTTCTGAGATGATCATTTTGTGGGGTTTTGAATCTAAATCAGACCAAAATTCATTTAGATATAGCAAGTGCCAAACGCCATGTAAGTCACTTTCATATTTTATTTAATATTATAGGTAGTAGTACAGTTCAATAAAATATTATACATATAATGATACACTCTTGATGACTGACACAAATTATTCAGACAATGCCAAACACCATCAGCATTGGAGGACAAGTAATGATACGCGTCTGTACAGACCATTTGTATGTCTTGCAAGAGCTGTAGTGGGGGTTACATTGAAAATAAGTTTGTGCGCATGGGGGCGGACTCGCCATCACGTTTGGCGATTGCTGTATACACAATTAAAAATTCAAAAGTTTTGAATATTATTCATTTCTTTTTTCACGAAAAAATGTTTGTGCGAAAAGATCAGAATTTTTGCGAGATATTACAAACATTTTGCAAATGATGAGCTAAATATAGCGGTAGATATTCATTTTTGCTTGTAATCATAAACATTTTACGTAAAAACATACTTTAATAAGATACTTTTTTGGGCGCCATTTTGGAGGTGAAAAAATAGGTGTCAACGAAAAAAAAATTACTAATATAAACCTCCCACATGATGCGCCCAGTACTTCAATTCTAACAATACATTTTGCTCGTTATTTGCGAATATTCCCAATATCTCACGAAAATATTAATCATTAGCATTTTTCAATCAAGAAGAATGCTAATGTACTAGCGATCAGTTTGAATATTCGAAAAACAAATTTGAGTAAGTGAACATAAGAAAATACATTTTTTGTGGTTACAACAATTAATAAAACTGGGTATAATTTGTAAAATATCTGTTTTTCGTATAGTATATCTCTGATAAAAAATGTAGTGAAATGTTGAAACATTTCATACATATGAAAAAATACAGGAATACAGGGTGTTCCATTTGAAAAAGTTGAATTGTCTGTTTGAAAATGAATGAAACTTGATCGGTTTTACCGAGCACCCTGTATATTGTTTCCGAAAGTTGAGACTCCCGAAATTATCATAGTGATGTTGACTAACTATTCCTAAAAAAATCCACTTAATTGCTGTAACAATGCGGGTGGTGAATTAAAGAAATATTGTGTGTAAAATAGGTTTTTCTGGAATAACTTGGCAATGCCGCATTGGAAATTCGAAAACAAAAATTCCTTGGCGAACAAAAAAATTTGAATCGAATGACGTATTCATATACTGGATGTTCCATTTAAAAAAATATAACTTTGGTTGGCCGCGATCGGCTGAATCATCCAGTATGCGAGAAAATAATTTTAAAAGATAGTAATAATCGATATGACTGTAAAAAAAAATTTGCAGTTCGAAATATTGTTTCCTCTGATAGCAATGGACCAAGGGAATCTTGTTGACTCACCCTGTATATACGTTGACTTCGAGAAGAAGGTTATATCTCGATGTATCAGTCAGTCCTTGCTAATTTGTGCGAGTACTCTTACGACCAGAAACTATTATTTTTAAGAACTGAATTTTATGTTGTATTTAAGCAGTGTTTTTTAACTGACTTTCCTAAACATTTTGATATATTCTTTGGGAGGTGTAATGAAAAACATGATATTAGGATTGAATATAAATTCATTTCAAATTTTGGTTTAAATCCAACATTAAACTTGGTAATAGTTTTGTGCTTATCAATGAATATTTAAAATTGAACAAAACCAACAATAAAAATTAATCGTTTTTCTTCAGTTCTTATTGTTTCCAATATAACTTTCATATTATAGTAACCTCTCTAAAGTTAGAATGGTGTGTAAAAGAATAAGTAACAGTGAGCATATCAAAAGTAGATTTGAAAAACATTAATCTGGTAAAAAATAATTGAATAAAAGTAGGCATGATGTAGAAACACTCATTTCAAATTATTTTATAACTTCAACTTGACAACATCAACTTCAACTGAAACATACCTGAGCATCTATCCCACCACGAAAGTGTGCAAGCTATATGCAAAAAAATAAATTTGAATAAAACAAATGTTCTTGGGATGGAAGCAGGGGCTTTCTTTCAAATTCAGAATATTTTATCTCATGTACTATTTTAATAGAGTAATATTCAATAGAGTAAATGAAAGTTTTGAATTCAACTGCAATCCAGTTGTTGTACATTTGATAGATTGACGGACACAATTATATTTGATGTGTATTAATGGGAACGGCAAGACCATCTAGCAGAACTGCTATGGGTAGATTTTGGATATTTGAATGGACAGACTTTCAGTACCTTATCCTTGAAACTGCTTGGGATCGGATGTTGAAAGGTAGGTTCCCGACTTATCGACTAAACGAAATTAATTTCTGCTTTTCATAGTGGAAAATAACTTGCGACAAATCTTCCAAATTGATGTTTTTACTTTAACTCTCTGCGCGGCATTAGCTAGGTTAGTTGTTGTTTTTCCGTCGGGTATCTGCCACATGTACCTACAAAGTTGTAGGTCTACATGAGCGGCAAGGGGTTAGGTGTTGTCACCTGAACCTGGGGCATGTCATATGCACCTCTCCTGAATATTAATCATTATATGTATCATCACATAGCTCTATGCTTGCTGTGTTCCACTCTTAGTTCGCACTGGTCACTCTGTTGTTCAGGGCCCATATTTATATTGTATTCGGTCTGCCTGACCGAGTACCTGAGTTATTTTGAGGTATCTTGCGCGACAACAAAGTCCTCCATGTTTGTGGTAGTCTCTGCGAATCATCTCGCTTGTTAAAGCAGTCGGGACGTTTTTCAGTTTTGATTGCTTCTTGAATTATCCTGGCCTGAAGATTTTTCTCCGTAGCAATGGTCTTGGTGTTTTCGAAGCTTATTGTGTGGCCTGTTCCTGGTGGTGTTTGAAGAGAGATGATGCTGGATCTAATCTGAGAACAGCTAGTTCATGTTCATAGGCTCTGTTGGATATTCTTCTATTGGTCTGGCCGATGTAAGTTCTGGGACAGTTAGAACATGGTATTTCGTATATACCATGTACTTCATTGTATTGTGTCCTTGGGTGTTCTTAAAATAGTGGAGATTTGGTCGTTGGCTGTGAATACTGTCTTTACGTTATGTTTCTTCAGAATTCGGCTCACTTTGTCAGTAACTCCATGGATGTAGGGGAGAAAAGCTTTTCTCTGGTTGGTCTGTTTCTCGAATAACTCGTGGGGTGGGGTTTGTGTTTGCTGTCGTTAGATGGATCTTTGTATTTGGGAGATGGGATAGACGTTTTGGTGAAGGGTGGCTTTGAGTTCTGTTGCAGTTGTCAGTGAGTCTTATAAAACGATGTATGAGGGAATTCAGAACGGAATTCAGCTGGGCAGGATGATGATGGGACTTAGCATTGAGGTAGCGGTTAGTATACCGTGTGTGAGAAGGAGTTGTTGGACTTTGTGATGAGAGCGTCCAAGAAAAGGAGTAAGTTATTATTCTCAAATTCCATTGTGAACTTCAGGTCGGGGTGTAAGGATTGTTGTCCTTGAGTTCGGGTTGAACCGTGTCTGGAGTTTTGTGTTCGACGTTTCGGCTCCCATTTCAAGAATTTGTGGCTTGACGCCGGGGCCTTAATCTGCCTACTTCCCAGGTCTCGTCACGAGTTCTCTCTAAGGTTTCAATTTGCTTACCTCCTTAGATTGAACTGGGGTGTCGATGTGTGATCGGTGGTATTTATATTGACGGAAGTTACTGAAGTGGACAGGTGGGAGCGGGGCTTCGGGTGATTGCCATCACCAGACGTCCTGGTGGGGGGTGAGCATCGGAAAATTAGGGGTTTCCAGGCAGTTGGAAGTCTCTGACCGTCATCACGTTTGTTCAGGCAGAAAGGTCATTTTTCGATATCGATGGCCTCGCGAATTATCCGAGCTTGTGATGTTTTCGCTGTGACGATGGTCTTAGTGTTCTCAAAGTCTATGTTGTGTCCTGTCTCTTGATGATGTTTGGACAGGGCTTTGAGGATAGGTCTGATTTTCGGACAGCAAGTTGATGTTCATATACCCTACTTGGCACACGTTTGTTGGCCTGGCCTACATATATCAATATATATATATATATTTGCTCCAGGTTTTGCCTCTCATGTAGACCTACGACTTTGTAGGTACGTGTGGCAGATACCCAACCCATGTCATATGCACCTCTCCGGAATATGAATAATGCAACAAATTTTCCTTTATTTTCAGTATTTTAATATTAACATATGTCACAAAAAGGATTTGAAGCTTTATAACTTCTATTTATTATATGCGAGCACTTTCGATAGCTGGCTGTGCTGTCATCTTCAAGGCTCTACTCAAACAGAAACAAGTGTATGCGATTTGCCTCCTTTTCGGAGTGTTGTGTCCACGAATCGTTCTATTTTTAATTTTACAAATGAATACAGGTATCATTATCAATTCTTCAAATAAGAGCATAAAAAAATTAAATCACACGAAATTAAAGACACAACTAAAAGAACACATTTTGAAGTAGATTGGCAATTTTGTAGTTTTATATACTAATGGAATTTTCTTAAAAACCCTTCTTTCTTATGTAGAAACGAACTTTTTTCACACAAAGTCTTTCTGTTATTTTCCTTTGTTTATTTTTCAATATCTTGTACGGTCTTGTCTTACCAATGGCCCTATTTTTTCTGAAATCTATTGACAACACCTTCAATATATGACTCACTTGTTTTATGGAACAGAACAATCTCATTTCAAATTGTCAACACGGGTTCAGACATGGAAAAGCATTTTGCATACAAATCTATCAATATTTGAATGATAAATAAATTCCTATTGCTCTATTTTTTTATCCGAGTTATTCTTTTGACACAGTTGATCATAAGCTCTACAATCCAAGCATTCGAGGTGTAGCTAATAAGTGAATTGCATCTTACTAAGAAAACAGGAAATAGATAGTAATGATTGATGCTTTAAAGTCAAATCCTGCAAATGTAACTGTTGGTGTACCACGGGGATCGGTTCGGGGTCCTTTACTTTTTATTTTTTTTATTAGTGATATATTCATGCAAATACGAAAATAAAATAATCATTTATGCTGATGATACCAATCAGTTAATCGCGGAAAGTAATCTAGCAAAATCAGTGGGAATTTCAAATATTACAGCAAATATGTTTTATGACTGGTGTGTTTTAGATGGGTTGTTAACAATAACTCAGACAAAACCAAAATATAACCATACAAAAGTTTGAGGTTACATTATCAATGAATAATAATAATAATAATATGTCACAAAGTAAGGACTTCTGCTAATCATGATTACTTCAACAGCTGATTTGCTACAGCCATCAATATATCTAGACTGTTTGGAATACTAAACCTGATATTTTCTGATTTGATTTTGAAAATATCCTATTCAAGTGCTTCAAATCTGGTATAGAATTAGTTAGGAAATTATATATTTTTTTTCATCAACCCTGGATATTAGTCATATGATCAGTCAATTATCTTCTACTTACATAGTTAATAGAGTTATCATCTGGCCTAACAGCGTCTTTATGATTTTTCATCCTCTCAATCAAATTCTTATAGAAACCATAACTGAAATATTCACTTTTCACTACCAAAGGCTCCAAAATAAACCAAAGACATTGTTTTGCCTTCGTCAATTCTTCCACATCGTCCCATTTTGTCAAAAACGGATCATGAGCCAAAACTGGCACAGCAAACACTAACATGTAATCAGGTAAAATATGTGGCAGCTGGCTGATTGCTTTATCTGCCTGTCCCGCACCCATCGTCAAAGTTTTAACGTAATCTCTTCTCCTGTTGATGTCTGCAATCATGTAGTTTCGAACTGTCGTTCTGAGACGGTTCTCCGGTTCTCTACCAGCAAGGGCATAATAACCCATAAAATCTAGTGGTAAGCATCGGTTTGGCAGTCCCTTATTAAGACCTGGAAGAAAACAATATCAAGTTCTATGATAAAAGTCATATTCATTTCCAAATGAAATTGCAATAATACAAGTAAATTAAATGAAAACATAGAAAATGAACTGGTGATATCTGATTAAAATCTGTTTTTCCGATATGTCGATATAGCCATTATATATATAATATTCAAAAACATCGCCTTCTTGTTGAACACATATTTGG